ACGTTCCATTCTTAGGAATTTGCAGCTTGTACATGGCTTCTACTCTGTACTGGATACCTGGGCAGGTGACCAGAGAGCCATCAGACTTCACAAAAAAAACCACATAGACAGAAACAACTCAGCAAGAATGCAGCTTTCAGGGATTTATAATGAAGAAATAACCAAGCAAAGGGGAAGGAACAGAGATAAGAGAGGATGCCAGCCAAATGCTGCTTATGTACTAGCCTAGAAAATAGTCAACATCTTTTGGGGGGTTAGGAAGCATCAGTTAACACTACCCCACAATAAGCACTGGACTGGGGAAAACTGGTGCTAATCTAGTTACATTGATATGGCCAGGTACCAGGATAGAGTGTAAAGTGGGGAGTTTGAAACAAAGCGAAAACCCTAATTTAGTTTAAAAAACATTACTTTCAGAAATCTGGAGGACTTACAGATAAAGAGCCCCACCCTGTTTCACACTATCTGGGTCATCTCCAGACGACTTTATGGCTCAGAACTCTAGAAGGAGGAGGACCCATGAACAAAGGAATGTTGTATCATCTCCATTTCCATTCACAAAGTTAAAGAGTGGAAGAGAGTGACCCTGTGTACAGGAGGATAGAAGGGTCAACAGTGAGAAATCTTGGATCTAGATAGCCTTCCTGCCCAGCACTTGTCACCAGGCTCAACTCCCATTTATTATGCCTACATGAAACAATCCCACCTTAGACTTATGATGCCATAAACATTTTCCAAAACAGTTTACAGTACAGAGAATTCTCATCCAAACTTCGCAAACAGTGTGGAGTGATAATCTTTCGGGGCTTCCTAGCAGACTCTCTTAGCGAACGCTGGGGATACTGATTGTTATTTGGGGTAAACCTTTCTAACTTGGGTTGGACTGGTGCACAATCCACACTTGCTTGTTCCATGCAGTGTCCCATCTCCTCACAGGCAGTTTGAAGCAAGCTGCATTCAGAAAACTCAGGAGCATTGCAGCTCTCCAGAAGGCATTACAGGAGGGAGGCCTGGCCGTCATACCACTGCACCTGCAAAACCAGATCAGCATTATACACAGAACATGCTCTCAGGCGCTGAACCCCCTGACTTCCCACCTACGTACTTGGTTGCCTCCCGGCCTCATCAGACCCATTCTGAACTTAGGAGAGGGATCTGTGCCCCCAATCCCACCCAGTTCTGATTATAGTAACATCCACCCAAAGGCCACTTCTGTTCCTTATTTACAACCCAGGAGCACTACCTCTGAGAAGAAACACAGAAACCCCAGAGGCCTCACCTGGCCGCAGAACAAGGGCTGGCTCAGCTCCATGGTGGACACAGGTGCTGACACGGCAGATGAGGCTGGTGTCACCTCTAGATAACTGAAAGGGAAGACCTTTATCCTATGTAACTCTGCTTCTCACATCAGAACAGGTTCTGTCTCGATAGGATAGTGGGTAGCATGATCCACATAGTTCTATGATTTAAAGTCATCTTGCAGAATGACTTTGACTATATAATTTCTGCATGATGGATGGAACTGTGAACGCTGGTCAGTCAGACAAGGCACTCTGAAGAGTTAGCCAGGAGGAAAACATACTGTGAGAAGGCTCACATGGTAGGCCATAGAAAGCAGCTGAAGAGGGCATTGCCGATGATGACCCAGCCCAGCCAGGACAATCTCGCAGTGGATGCACTAAGCACTTGGCACCAGATCAAAGCGAAGCAAAAGAAAATCAAAGGCTGGGCGTGGAGCCAACATCCACAACCACAACACGTCCAGGGTAAGGCAGGAGGATAGCCGGGAGTCTGAGGAGAGCCAAATCTACACAAAGAGATCTTATGTCATCGAGCAAACAAACAAACAAAAACCCTGAGCACACAATATCTGATTTTATTTATGTGGAATCCTACAGAATTGTCATGGAGTCATTTTCTCCTGGTTGAAACATTCCCTCTAAGAACGAGGAAAATGCACTAGACTTGGGAATTAAATAAACTTCAAGTCTTGGAAAGTTGAAACTTTTAAGATTCCCAAAGATCCCTTCCACAGCATTATAGAAGCAGCAAGCAACTGCTGAGTGTGGGGACTCAGGTCAGTCAAGATGCCTGAAGGAGACTCTCTCTGAAGAGCTGAGATGCCCAGGGAGGATGCTGTACCTGCCAAATTGCCTTCAAGAGAACATCAGGGTTCCAGTTTTTGTGGGTCAACATGTGTACTGGGGTGGACGTTTAGCTTTTCAGCTGTCTTTGGTCATCCCTGCTCTGTGATTCACCCCTTAAACTCATCTTTCACCAAGATGGACTTTGGTGTGTTGTTATTTTGATTTGTCATTAATTCCCTTTCTGGGATGAGTATGCATTTATTCCTATATACCCCAGGACTAGTGTCACATAGGAGAATGGAGTCATTCATTATAACAGAAGAACATCCTTAGCCCTGGAGTGTCAGAAACTTGATGGGTGAGGTGATAAAGGTTCCATCATAACCTGAAAACATGGCTTTGGCTACTCCTAGTAAATACAGGGCAGGTGTCCACTGAAACAGGATAACAACTCCCTTAACATCAGAAGATCCCAGACAATACTTCCAGTCTTCCTGAAATATCTCCCAGCCTGGAGGTTTTTGTTATCTTATCTCATCCAAAATACTGCAGACCACTCCATATATATCCCCTAGCTGCAGTCTCATGAAAACTTTGGGCACTTTCTCTCAATCACAGAACCCTGGAATATCCTTGACACTATCCCTCTTGGTCTCGAGTTCCTTGGGTTGTTGGACATTATCTCTCTACCACAGGACCCTCTATCGGTTCTACACCCTCTACTGACACCCAAGCCACTACCATTCTCCCAGAAGCCCTGGTCACCTATCTTAATAAAGTCCATGTTTTGACACCTTTTAGACGTTTCAAGCCCTTTCAAAACATTTTGGAAAATTAAAAGGTAAAATGTTGATACCTCTCAGAAACCAACAGCCTTGGTTCATGGAACAAATATGAGGAAGAGCCTTGTAAGAGCTGTGTGAGAGCTCTGGCCAGGGACAAGCTTGCGCGTCGTTCTAGGTGCAGATGTCAGGCATGTACCAGGGTTTGGGGGCATTCTTCGGTTGAGGGAAGGAATGTTAATGTTTTCAGAAACACATAAGGAAAGGACCTGATCTTCAGATCCTGAACCAGTAAACTTTGCCATATCTTACCTTGTGACCCAAAGAAAACCCAGAAGTCCTCTAGCTTACCTGTAGGGATGATGAAGTTTGGGGCTAGCAGCGGAAGCTGCCAGCCCACTGCTCAGTCCTGGACCATTCTCTGGATATAAGCTCTGAGAACAACTACCACGCAGATCAGGAAATGCTGCAGGTAAAATCCCACAAACCATAGGTGAAAGGAAGGCACATAGCCCATGTGTGGCATGCCTCTGTCTCCAAAAGGCTGCCTAGGCTGTAAGAAATCAGTTCACCCAAGAGTCTCAGCCTCCCTCTCAAGAAAAGGATGGACAGATCCTTCACGTCTGTGGCCTCCAGAGACAATGTGAAAGTCCATTTCTTTTGATCCTAGGCTGGGCTTTCCACTATGGGCTTCACAAAGTCCAGTGCCAGAGTTTCAATCTGACCCAACCATTTCCCTCCTTGTCAATGACAGGCAATTTGCACTTCAGGCTTTGGCCATATGCCAGCGTTACTGTTTTCATTTTTTTTGCCTCTTATCTGAGGTTTCATTGAGATTTCCTTGAGAAAAAAGTTGTTACTACCTCACCCTGCCCACTGGATTGCTTTCCATCTGTGGCACAGACTGACTTTTTGAAAGACATTTAACTCTTAAAAGACAAGATAGTAGATTAGGTAATTTATGGGTGGGCACACTGTTATGAGAGGAGCCTGAAAGGAAGGAGGCTCACCAGTCAGCCAGAAAGCCTGGTGTATTCAACGCCAAATGAAGAGAAGATATGCAGGTGCGAGCAAGGGCACTCAAGATCATGACAGGGGGCCCAATAGAGACTGCTGACCTGAGCTAATAAGAGCTCATAGACTCTAAACTGACAGCCAGGGAACTTGCATGTGACTGACCTAGGGCCTCTGCATGTGGATGACAACTGTGTAGTTTGGTCTTTGTGGGACCCTTGGCAGTGGGATCAGGATCTGCTCCTGGCACATGAGCAGGCCTTTTGGAACCTACTGTCCATGCGTGGATGTCTTTTCCAGGCTTGACGCAGGGGAAAGAGCTTGGTCCTGCCCCAACTTGATTGTCCATACTTTTTTGATGCCCATGGGAGACCTGCCCCTTTTTGAATGGACACAGAAGGGGGAGCAGATGGGGCAGGGGGAGATGGGGTGGAGGGAGGGGCCAGGAAGAGAAAAGGAAGGGGAAACTGTGGTTGGTAGGTAAAATAAAAAGAAAAAAAAGGAAAAATATTTTTTTTTAAAAAATAAAGAGCTTGTGATTCTTTGTATGAGAACTATGAAAACTTAGTCCACTTTTAGAGGTACTGTTTTTGGGGAGTATGGAACCTTTAGGTGATAGACGTTTGCTGGAGGATGTTTTAAAAATGTACTTTTTAAAAAATGAGGCAATTAGAAGCTTCAAGAAAAAAGATACATTTTCCTCAATGCTGAGAAACACAGGCTGGTCAACAGGGCCTTAAAGGATGGAGTCACACAACTATTGTCTTATAGCCACAAAGGTGTAACTTAAAGGCACAACTACAGTGATAACTTAAAATCAAACCCCTGACATTTCTACGCTAGCATGATGTGCAGGGCAGGAAGGGGCGGCCACTCACAGATAAAAGAGGACAGTTTGGGGAATGGGCTTGATATATGGATGCAACTACTGCCTCTCACTTTAACCCTTTCCTGTTTTGTTTTTCATTCATGCATTTTTCCCAATAGACATAAATGATAAATAATCTGAATAACTTGTGGGAAGAGTCTTCCCTACTCCATTATTTCTAGGTTTCACTGAACATTAGAGATACAAGCAGATGGTGGCCACATCCACACTTCCACCCCAACACAAAGCCTAAAGACCTGAGTACTTGAGTAGTTGTGGGGGTAAGACCATAATTTCATGTCTGTGCAAGGTAGACCCACCTGCATGGCTGGGATCACTGAAAGTAGCAATGGCCATGGTCATGGTGGCATCTTCAGGATTCATCCCAGAGTCCAGCTGATTTCTATGGTCCAGTTCTCCATTGTAGAGGAAAACTTCCTTGGAAGATGACGGTGCATGGGGTATCATCCATGACTCAGGGACAACCATAGAGGAATCAAACACGTTGTTGCTAGTACCCAGCGAGCAGAGGTCAGGGGAGGGGCATATGGAGGTGAGGCTGACAGGATGGTAACTTCGCCCCTCCTGGTACACTTCACATCCATACAGTGACCTGGGGAACATAACCAAACCATGTGCCTTGATGAGTAGAGACCATGGGTGGGAGGGAGGAGTTGGAAGGTGACTGCATCCGGTTTGGGGGATGTGGGCTGAAATACACAAAGCTGTAGAATGTGATACTTTACTAATCATCCTCCCTGCCCATTCCTGAGGGTTTCCAAGGTTCAGCTGGGCTCTGATGGCCTCAGTCACAGACACATAAAAAAGTCTATTGCATGTGTCTTACCCTCTCTGAGGATTGGATGGGGGTGGGATGGGAGGGTATGTGGAGGGGATCTATTGCATAAAACCAGAAAATGATTTGCAAGACCCTCATATGAAGTGAATAAATGATGGTTAGTATTAAAGGAACATTAGGCAAAAACTGGCAATAATGAAAATTCTATCAGCACTCAAGTGCCTCAGACATGGTCAAAGATTTTGTTAAACATCCCCTCCATCTCTGCCATAGCCTGTATGGCAGGCCCTATCACAAAACCATTTCATAGGAGCACTGGTCATACACCTGGGCAGTGTCCAGCCAGGGACTGCTCCCATGAATGACCATTGCTGGGCTGTATGCAGAAGGCTTGTGCCTTGTCACAGGGGAGCAGAGTGCATGAAGAGGATCAGGTGTGAGAAACGTACCAGTTGCTGCTCACCCCATGAAGTAAACACCTGACCAAATGCTCAAAAAAGGAATACAAAAACAATCCACAGTTGTCAAGGTCCAGTACAGGCTGGTCCAGAGTTAAGGATAAATTGTATTCTGGTCTCCATCCAAAGGAGGAAGGGACCAAAGAGGAAACATGTCCCATGACCTGAGTTAATGGTACTACCTGAAAGACAGCGACTGTGAAGTGGTGTTGTCTCCAGAAAAGTTCCAAGTCAGGAACTGCATCCCATGTGATTCTTGGGTTGTATCTCGGGACTGTAGAGACACACTTCTTTCACATTCAACTAAAAACAGATCAGAGAGAGAGAGAAGGGTGCACTGGGTCCTAGCCTCCTTCCAGCTGAGAGCACCTCCACAGTTGTGGTCTTCAGTCATACAAATATTCTTGTCCTTGTGCTGACATCAGTGAAAACCAACAGTTCCAAACCTGGAGACTGATTCACTTCCCCAGTCTACTCATTGTCCTTCTGGCTATGTCAAGCCCCACCTTCAGACACACACAGTCACACCATGGTCAATTCCAACCTGGCTAGCTCTTACAGACCCCAAGAAGCCCTTGGACTGCTCACCTGACCACTGAGACACAGTCACAGACTCATGACGGTCTCCTGAGAGCTGCAGTTGTTCAGGCCCACTCTCCTTTGCACTGGAGACTTCTGACGTGGCCTCCTGGGCTCTTTGACTGTTCAGGGAAAAAGCCTTCTGCCGTCGCCGATAATTGGCGAACCAGTTGTACACTTGCTCGTGGGTCAAGCCAGTCTCCAAAGCCAGTTTCTCCTGACCACAAGGTAGGATGTGAGTTATAAGTGTGCACAGAGGTGGCTAGGAGAACTCATATCCACTAAGGAAGCATAGCCCAACCTGATCCCTGGAATGGTGACAGAGACAGTGATCAGTGAGCTGGTACACTGGAAAACAGACTGTCTACTGAGCATGTGCTGAAGAAGTGGAGATCAATACACATGTGCCCCACCTCCTGCACCCACTCCATTCTAGGCCAACTGAAGCTCTGAGCACCCAAGACCCTAAGACAGGAAAACAGCTACATTGATGCTATGAATTCTTGGATCAGTGCCTTCATTACTCCCAACTAGGAGCCCCTTCCTTGCTCCACTGTGACCTTTAGCTTGAGGTCATAGAGCAGAGGGCTGGGGAGCATCTGGGAATTAGCCAGGGCTTGAAGTACACAGTCCCACATGAGAAAACCAAGTTTGGCAAAGTAAGAGGTCAGGAAAAGGTGGCGACCACCAGCACCCTGGGAGGGGGCTGAGGATCCCACTGAGCTGCGGAGAAGGAGATGAAGATAGCTAAAGAAGTACCTAGTGGAGGCAGAACCACTCAAAAGAAGAGGATCTGCCTAGGAGACCGACAAGGGGCTACCCTGGGGAAGGTGCAGGGGAAGTAGACTGGAGAGAAGCAGGAAAAGCTGCTTGGGAAGAAGAGGGGGGAGTTACTCAGGAAGAGGTGAGGAGCCTCAGTTATTGGATAAAGAGAAGCCACCTGGGGTGGGCTGTTGTCCTTACCAACTGGGCCTTCTTGGGATAAGTGCCCACACCTGTGGCAAAGTTCTGCAGCTGGTGGCGAATCTCTGGGGGGAAGTTCCGGTTCTTAGGGCCCTCAGGGCAGAGAGTAGGTGGTGGTGGGTTCCTGAATGAGGAGGGCCAGGAGGAATTTTAACATAAACTCCATCTGCTCCCTTCTCAGGGCCTGGCACTTCAAAGGGAAGACGTTCTGGGAAACACTCTCCAGCCCACCTCTGCCCTCCACTCCCCAGTCACCTCAAAATGCCTGATTACTATTCTCTGGGTTACCACCTGGAGGTCCACCATACTCTGCAGCCACCCAGTGAGTGAGCACAGGCTACCCCAGAGCCCAGCACAACAAGACCACTGACTCTCTGTTCTGTCCGGTTTACAGCAGGTTTAATAAACTTGTTCCAGGATTTCTTCTTCCAGGTCCTCCCCAAGAGCTCTTAAAGCTGTGGATCTCTCCCATTTATCCACGAATCCCTCTAGCCACCCTTCCTGGCTTATTCCCTCACAATATAACTCCAAGAATATCGGCCCAACTTTCCATATACTGATCCTGGCTTCCCCTTGGCCCCTTTCTCACTTATCCCTTGCACTCAGCATCCCAGGCCCCTGTGTTCTCCATTTTCCTCTTCTTGCCACTCTTCCCCTTTTATTCCCTGTGTTGGGAAGCAACTACACCATGCAGAAGGACCATCATTTTTTCTCCACTGCCTCTCTATACTGCATGGGGAATTCTGTGTTACTGAAGGAACTGGTGGCCATTTCTCTTATGTCTGGGCTGAGTTTTCCTGCTGTATCTCTAAATTTCTTCATAAATGATATAGGACATGTATAAAGATCACGTATCTGTGGAACAGATGTCACCCGGATGTTTGGCATTAATATACAGCCCCAAAGCATCTCATCTAACACATTCCAAATACAATCCACATAGAACTCGAGAGCCTCCTCCAGTCCAAACACACCCAGAATGAAGTGCCCTGCTCGTGGCAGCTCCTAGTCAATATAGAGTGCCTCCCTCCTACACCTCAGCTCTCAACCACAGCCGATCATCACTAAGACATCACAGGGTCAGTTAGCAGAGTTACAGTAGACCCATGTTCTGGTCGCTGTGTATATACTCCTGAGATGCATTATCAGTCTCTCAAGAGGCCTTGGAAAGGGAAGATAAACAGAGCCACCACCTTTTCCTGCAGCCGCAGGTTGAGGACAGGTCTGCATTTCTGAAGGCTTGGAAACAAACTCTCTTGAGATGTCTTCTCTCTGCTCCAGGACACCAGGCACCATACCTCATCATCCCTGGCTTCTGACCTTGACATCTGCCTGCTTGGAAAATTCGCCTGTGCGGTTTTCCTACTCCCATCCAAGGTTTCATCAGATCTGCACCAATGACCTGGTCAAATGTAGCCCCTTCTCCACTTTATTTCTTCTCTTAGGTTTTTGAACTTAGCTCATGGCCGGCTGTATAAAATCAGGGCTGTACCTACAACCTCCAAGCACCTAGCACTCTGGGGACACTTCACAAACACGGGGACAAGACACTATGGCTACCTAGCTGCAGTCTGCTGAGCTATCTCTGGGGTGATATTATCAAATCCACTGTCTTGATGCTATTATTTACCGAGCTTCCAAAGATCTATCTAATACTGTCAATATTCGGTAGACTCTCTGATCAAAAACAAAAAAAGCGAAGAAAAAAACTTCCTCCTGCAGTGAGAGGACCCTGTGACTCAGGACGCCTGCATTACTTAGAGTAGCAAAGGGAAGCCTACAGCTCTCCTTCGCCAGTGAGAGGCCTTCGATGAAGAACAACGGCTCCACAGTATCAGTGTCTCAGGAACCCTGATCTTGTATCTCCCACGAGAAACCTCAAAAATGATACTTGACTTTTTCATGCAAGATTTCATCTCCATAAATGGTAAAGATGATAAACTTCGCATCTTGCGGTCCCCAGGGTCTAGCCTGACACCTAGGTGTGGGGATTAGATGCCTTGAGAAACAGCTGAACAAAACCCAGTCACCCCGCATTCACTATCCCCACCCACAGGCTTCTTCTTGTCTAATGATGATGGAAAGTAGATACGGTCAGGATATCAAGTGGCACACAGCTATCCAGTTCCAACCACCACATCACTGAGGTGTCAGAGTGGTAGCTTGGTAATGGGCATGGTAATGCATGGGCAGCCCGTACACGGTGGTCCTGTTGAACTTGTCTATATTGGGTTTCATGGTCTAAGATTATGAGGATGACTGACCAGGTCTCTTCCTTCAGAGGGCACCAGATCACATTACAGATGGTTGTGAGTCACCATGTGGTTGCTGGGAATTGAAGTCAGGGCCTTTGAGAAGAGCAGGCAGTGCTCTTAACCACTGAGCCATATAAATACTGCTAAGGTGACTTCTTGTCCTTGTTTCCTCAGCTCTGATGGGGTTTGGATGACACATCCAACCTTGGGAAGACCCAGGGAGTTACAACAGAGGAGAATCAGCAAGTACCTCTTCCTGCAGCGAAACTTCTGCACTGGGCTCAGCCTAGTGACGCCCAGCTTCCTCATGGTCAGGTGGTAGTGAATGTCATTCCAGAGTTGTACCAGCTCCTTGCTGCCTCCTGGCACCTGACACCCCTGTGGGGAAAGCCTGCTGAAATCGAAACCCAGTCACCACTATAAGCCCTGGAGTGATATTGGAAGTCCTTCTGTATACGTGTTGCTTTTATTGGCCAATGACTTGTCAGAATAAAGCCAGGTGAGAAACCCAAACAGAGATATAGAAATTAGGTGGAATCAGACAGATACCAGATCCTTACCAGTAAGCCACAGCCTTGGGCCAATACAAAGATTAATAAAAATAGGTTAATTTAAGATGTAAGAGTCACTTAGTAAGAAGCCTGAGCTAATAGGCCAAGCAGTGTTGTAATTAATATAGTTTATGTGTGATTATTCAGGTCTGAGTGGCCAGGAAATGAAAGAGCAGTTTCTGTTTACAGATGGCACCAACATGGGCCAACTACATCCACATAAAACCTGACAGAGCTTAGGAAGGAATTCTAGACACAAAAGAACAGAGTTAAGCACAGCTTCTTGGTAGCAGCATTTTCTCGGATGAACTCTGTTTCTTAGAAGCAAGTAGAGGCACAGTTTAAGAAAAGGCTTCCTGACTCAGCAGTAGCAGCAAAAATTGTGTGGCTTCTTTAAAAGCCAGCTTCCTGGTTAGTTCTGGCAGCACAATCAGCTCTGAATTTTTTAGGGAGATACTGTTAGGGAGCACTTAAATGGCGCTCTCTCTCTCTCTCTCTCTCTCTCTCTCTCTCTCTTTGGTTTTTCGAGACAGGGTTTCTCTGTAGTTTTGGAAACTGTCCTAGAACTCACCTTGTATTGCAGGCTGGCCTTGAACTCATAGGATCTGCCTGTCTCTACCTCCCAAGTGCAGGATTTAAAGGCATTTGCCACCACCACATGGCTTTATTTTGCCCTGCCATAGGCTGAAGCCGCTTCTTTATTAACCAATGGTGATATAACATATTCACAGCATACAGAGTGGACTCCTACATCACTGGAGTGTGATGGAATCTGCTATTTACACCAACCCAGCCTATGGGAAAGACAGTCATCTATCCTTGAATCCACTGGTCTAGAAACCACTCATGTCAGCCAGACATACAAACCCTCCAGTCCCTACTAGGCCTTGAGGAGCTTGACTCAGCCAGTTACCTCGCAGGCTATGGTATATATTTCATACCGGCAACGAGCAGATCTGAGACCCGTTTTCTTATCTTAGGCCCTTCAACCCTACAAAAAAATAAGTAAACCCAGTCCTCCATTGAATCACACAAGTACAGAGAGCAAATACGGCTATTTCAGTATGCCTTGCTCTCCTTACCTGGTTCTGCACAATAACTCCCCGAATGAGTTTCTAGTCACACTCTAGGGTTTCTAATCACCAACGTCACTAAATGTTACTCAGTAGTCACCTCAGTTCCAACCATGCGCTCCCTCTCTGTTGACTCCACTTTTTTCTGGATGATTTAGAGTTATCATTTTGACACAGGCTGGCCTGCAAAACTCGGTTGCCTCTCCTAGGCCTCCTGAGTGCTGAGATTTCAGGTATGCACCATTTTATCAAAGCTTCAGGTCAGGTACTAGGTGGCTATGTCAAAGGTGCTCATACATTACATAGGCACATTTCCTCACCAACACTCCAAAAGGACTTTCTAAGTGGTAGTTGTCAAGGTTACCAAGGTCTAACTTGATCAAGTGAGAGTGGACACCCTGCCTGAGCTTACAACAACTTGGGGATGGTGGAGGCCGCTGTGTTCCCACTTCTTTCCATCATACCTCCAAAATCCGGAGAGCTGAAAACTGTTGCTCCTGATGGACCAGGACCTGGGCACACACCAGCGCCACATCTGCATTGTCTAGCAGGTGCCGACGGTGTTTGCTGTCCAGAATGGCTTCCACCAAAGGCAGCACCTGAACATGGTTGTGTTGGAGGTCCCGACATAGCTTGCCTGCAAGGGTCACCAGCTCTTGTGGAGGAGAGTGGGTGTCCCCATGCTCCCTCAGCAGCCTCAGGAAATTCTGCATTCTGCAAGAGTATCTCTGTCAATACAGAATATTCAGAATAAGGCCAGTACTGTTTTCTCCCCATGAGTCTTCAGACCAATTCCCAAAGGCAGGTGATATCAACTTCAAGGTACGATAACTCACCTGAGGAAAACTAGGGTGGTATTGCACAACCTTTTCCTAATTCACCCAAACAGCTGTGTCCCTAAAGAAGACAGCTGTGCACAGACCATTTTGCAGGGCACTGTGCAACCATCCAATATCACCTTTCCGGGTCTTAACTGTTCACTCTGGCCTGGCCCTTGTATCTCTTTTTTCCTTTCTATGCTCCAGGTTTTGATACAAGCTATGAGCAAGTTTCGTTTTGCTCTTTGCTGTGACCCCTGGGTTTTCCAGAGACCCCGGCAAGGGTAACTCAGCATTCGCCTAACCACAGACAGTCTCTCCTTTCTCAGAGCCAGAGATACAGATCTCCAGAATGAAGTGCTGGGTCCTGGAGCATTTTACACCAGGAGGAATTTTCCAGGGGGAGGAACCACAACAATTTCTCACTGAATTACAAACTCTAAGAGCTCCCACCTTAGGCCATTGGTACGGCATGTTGATGATCGATTTTCAGGCATCAACCTAATCACAGAGATCGCATTTCTGTGGAACACAGGGCAGAAGTGAGGCTGAGTACCACTTTGACTGTAGTCAGAGTACTGGGCCTACCAGCAAGGACCTCCCTGGGGTTGATTCCAGTACACACTGGAGACTTCATCGTCACCAGCTCCCAACAGAAAGTTCAAGGCTCTCAGAAACCAGGAGGAAAGCTATCTCAAGACCCCCATTTTGTCCAGTACTATTGCTTCCTGCTGGCTGAGGGCAGGGTCCCTTCCTGAAGAGACCCTTATCTGAGGAAGAAACGGGCTCTCTTTGAATCCCCCACCCAGGTTGGAACAACAGGGCTGGCAACATGCTGCCAGGTACCTTTTCAGAGCAGTGTTCTTTAACAGGAATAGGCTGCCAAATGCTGGATTCCAAACACCAGAAGAGACAGAAAGACGCGGTGCTGAACGCCAGAGCCTCCCTAGCTTTCTGGATACCACCACCGACACACACCCCGAGGCGCCTCCCTTCAACACCCTTCCATCCTGACCTCTTCCTCTAATTCCTCCCGGACATGCTCCCCCCACCTTCATCCCCTTTCCGGCGCACCTACTTTTGTGATTTTCACAACCGGAGCACCTGGACTGGAAGGTATAGCTACAAAGTATCCAAACTTCAATCTCTGCACTGCCCAGTCCCGAGGCCCTGATGGATATTGAACGTCGGGGCAAGACACCAAGACCCCGTGCTTTGTGCTTTATTGCAGGATGGGAGGAAACTGAACCAGGACATGCCTTTTAACATTCTCACAGTGCCTAAACCATAAGGAAAGTCGGGGCCACTCTTGTGCACTGTGTTCTTTGACTTGTCTCGCATGGCAGTGTGGGCACTCTGTCACAAACTCTGAAGGCAAGCAACGTGGGGGCCTGGCAGGGTTTTCAGATATTCAGAGGGTGAGCATTCACCATATATGGGTGTGGAATGAAAAGAGTTTGGGGGCTTTGGGCAAAGGTGACTTCTGAAGCCAATTTTAAGAGGTGGCTGAGCCTGGTGGGAGAAAAAGGTTTCCTGATAGCAAGTACATAATGGTATTCAAAAGCCAAGAGTATAAAAATGGTCTATCCAGTCCCCTGGGATATTCTAGTCCAGATACACTATAGATTGACAGTATGAGAATTTCCATAGCCCAAGTTGTATGTTATGTTTGCTTACTAATACAGTCCTGAGGGCAGGATCCTAGCTATTAGCAATCATGATCAGAACACTTGACCTGTTGTCTGGCACAAACTAATGGATGAGTGTTGTTTCATCATTGGAAAACAAAGGTGAAATTATACACAACACATTAAACCACAATTGCCCCTAGATAAGGAGAATTTGTTTTATTTTAGCTTCCGATTTGCTGTTTACTAGGTGGATTTGTATTTGGAGGGGTTCATGTAGACCAGGCTGGCCTCCAACTATGTAGACCTTGAGTTTGACTCAAAGACAGGATAACCAGGAACTCCAATACTCCTAACTGTCTTACCCAAGTTCTGGAATTGCAGTGGAGTAAATGCTAAATCAATATAGTATATCTTTTAATTCTATATAAGATGCTATACATTTTTTGAGATGACTCTGAAAGAACTCTGATACAGCATTCTAAATTCACTTTAGTTGTGTGTGTAGATGACCGTCAGCTTGTGGACACACAAGCCACTGTGCATTTGAAGCTCAGAGGACAGACAAGCTGACGGAAGTAGTTCTCATCTTCCACCGTGTGGATCCTAGGATCAAATTCAGGTTTTCGGGCATGGCAGCAAGCACCTTCATCTGCTGAGCCCTCTCGCCAGCCCCCTCCCTGTTTATTTGTTTGCTTGCTTTTTTTATGTAGGTCATAAGTATGTATATGAATATAATTGAAGTTCTTAAATCCAGAAACTTCTCCAGGGCAGACTCCATGGCAATTACTCTCTTTATATCTTTTATGGGGCTATTAATAAATGCTTTATCTCCATTTAACTAAGTGTGAAATCAATAAGTTTCTGCAGAGAAACCTAAGTATTTTTTATCTCCTTTGGTAATTGGGGCTCAACTGATAAACATAAATTTAGATGCGTCCATCTAAACCAGCAGTTCTTAACCTATGTGTCTCATCCCACAGGATGAGACTGCTATGCCCACTCCCTTGCATCTTGGGACAGTGGACAGGTGAGCCTGTGTTTGTGAGTCTGAGGTGATCATTTATGGAAGAAGGGACAAGGCACAGTGAGAGACCCACATGTGTTGTGGCTATGGGGAAATTCTTTCTGCATGAAGTGCAAAGTTCTATACTTAGATTCTAAATCAGTACTTCTCAACCTATGGGTCATGACCCTTCTGTGTCAAAGGACTCTTTTACAGGGTTTGCCTAAGACCATCTTCCATGTCAGATATTTACATTTTTATTCATAACACTAGCAAAATTACAGTTATGAAGAAGCAATGAAAATAACTTTATGGTTGGAGATCACCACAACAAGAACAAGAGGAACTGTATTAAAGTGTCCTAACATTAGAAATATTGAAAACCACTGTTCTTAATGGAACATAAGGGATTTTTCAAAGAACTGAAAATATCCCAACTTCTACTGTTAGCTTTGCATGAAGAAAGGTTTAATTGTTATGTGATATTTTAATTCTTGCCTAAAAACCCAAGCCCCATTTAGGACTTAGATCTTAAGAGAAAATAATTGCTCCTCAAACGGTGGCCAGTGTTCAATAAAATATTTCTGATCCTGGCAGCCATACACATGAAGGAATGGTTTCCCTGCACCCCTTCCTCTTCTCTCTTTTCTTGACATTTTGATAGCCTTGAAAGTTATCTCTAGGCTAAAATATTGTTTTTCTCTCTTCTAAAATTATTTTATGGGAAAATGGTCTTATATTATTTTTAGTAAAATGCTGATTGGCCAGTAACCAGGCAGGAAGTATAGGCAGGCAACCAGGCAGGAGGTAGAGGCAGGACAACAAGAATTCTGGGAGAGGAAAGCTCAGTCTGCAGTGCAAAGGAAGCAAGATAGCAAGATGTGACTGCCTTGCCAAAAAGAGTACCAAACCATGTGGCTAACACAGACAAGAATTATGGACTAATGTAAGTTATGAGAGTTAATAAGAAGCCTGAGATACTAGGCCAATCAGTTTATAATTAATGTAGAACTCTGTGTGTTTCTTTGGGATGAAAGACTGCAGGATTAGGTGGTACAGAAACCTCAATCAACACTCAAACTGTGGCCAGTGTTCAGCAAAATATTTCTGATCCTGGTAGCCATACACATGAAGGAATGACCTCCCTGCACCCCTCCCTCTTTTCTTGACATGGTGATAACCTTGAAAGTTATCCCTAGGCTAAAATATGGTTTTTCTCTCTTCTAAAAATATTTTATATGTATTAAAAGATTTTCAAGCATCACAGTGTGACATGAAGACTTTCTTATATCCAAACAAATATGATACTGTTCAAAACCTAATCAGAGGCTAGAGAGATGGCTTGGCTGTTAAGAATATTGGTTGCTCTTCTGGAGGACCTGATTTTAGTTCCCAGCACCCATATGACAGCTCACATGTGTCTGTAATTCTAGTTTCAGGAGATCCAACAGTCTTTCATGCAGACAAAATATCAATTCACATTAAAAAAAATCTAAATGGTGGTGACACACACCTTTAGGACACAGAGGAAAGAATCTCTGGGTTCAGGGTCATCCTGGTTTATAGAGTGAGTTTCAGAACAGCCAGAGCTACACAGAGAAATCCTGAGAGGATTTCCTCTGCTGCAGGATAAAATGAAACCTTAGATGTTAAATAGAAGCATTTCCAGAGAATGACTGAGATTCAAAAAAAACTTTTTTATTTATAACTGTTAAAATTTAATTATAATTTAATTATCACTTCCTCTTCACATCCTTTCAAATTGATGTCTTCTTTTACTTATTTTGTGTGCATGCATATATACTCACACATGCACACAAAGAAGACACTTGTCAGTGTCTGGTATCTTCCACCATTTCTCTTCTGTTGCTTTGAGTCGGAGACTCTTAGTGAACCTGAAGCTCATTATTTCAGCAGAACTGGGTGATCAACAAGCCCCCAGGTTTTGTCCTGAATCTCCACCTTCAGGCTTCAAGCATAGCTAGTGCCTTACCCACTGAGCAATCTCCTCAGCCTCCTCTCTCTCTCCTATAGGTTTGATTGTAGGGTGGCTCTAAAGAATTCTTTTTTTCCTAAAAAAATATTTATTATACATACAATATTCTGTCTGTGTATGCATGCAGGCCAGAAGAGGACACCAGACCCCATTACAGATGGTTGTGAGCCACCATGTGGTTGCTGGGAATTGAACTCAGGACCTTTGAAAGAGCAGGCAATGCTCTTAACCTCTGAGCCATCGTTCCAGCCCATAAAGAATTCTT